ACCTTGCGGTACACACGCAGTACGTTCTCTGGTGCATGGTACCTTGCGGTACACACGCAGTACCTTCTCACTGGTACATGGTGCCTTGTGGTACACACGCAGTACCTTCTTTGGTGCATGATACCTTGCGGTACACACACAGTACCTTCTCACTGGTACATGGTGCCTTGCGGTACACACGCAGTACCTTCTCACTGGTACATGGTACCTTGCGGTACACACGCAGTACCTTCTCACTGGTACATGGTGCCTTGCGGTACACACGCAGTACCTTCTCACTGGTACATGGTGCCTTGTGGTACACACGCAGTACCTTCTTTGGTGCATGATACCTTGCGGTACACACGCAGTACGTTCTCTGGTGCATGGTACCTTGCGGTACACACGCAGTACCTTCTCAATGGTACATGGTACCTTGCGGTACACACGCAGTACCTTCTCATTAGTTCATGGTACCTTGCGGTACACACGCAGTACCTTCTCACTGGTGCATGGTACCTTGCGGTACACACGCAGTACCTTCTCACTGGTACATGGTACTTTGCGGTACACACGCAGTATCTTCTCACTGGTGCATGGTACCTTGCGGTACACACGCAGTACCTTCTCACTGGTACATGGTACCTTGCGGTACACAGGCAGTACCTTCTCACTGGTACATGGTACCTTGCGGTACACACGCAGTACCTCATTAGTGCATGGTACCTTGCGGTACACACGCAGTACCTTCTCACTGGTGCATGGTACCTTCCGATACACGCGCAGTACCTTCTCACTAGTGCATGGTACCTTGCGGTACACACGCAGTACCTTCTCAATGGTACATGGTACCTTGCGGTACGCACGCAGTACCTTCTCAATGGTACATGATACCTTGCGGTACACATGCAGTACCTTCTCACTAGTGCATGGTACCTTGCGGTACACACGCAGTACCTTCTCACTGGTACATGGTACCTTGCGGTACACACGCAGTACCTTCTCACTAGTGCATGGTACCTTGGAGTACACACGCAGTATCTTCTCACTGGTGCATGGTACCTTGCGGTACACACGCAGTACCTTCTCAATGGTACATGGTACCTTGCGGTACACACGCAGTATCTTCACTGGTACATGGTACTTTGCGGTACACCCGCAGTACCTTCTCACTGGTGCATGGTACCTTGCAGTACACGCGCAGTACCTTCTCTGGTGCATGGTACCCTGCGGTACACACGCAGTACCTTCTCACTAGTGCATGGTACAATGGTCAATACTGAACTTGAGGAATGGTAATGTGATTCCGCGTTCGCATACCACTACTGAAAAGATCTGCTGACACTGTCAACTAGTATTGCTTCGTAGTGAAATGATCAGAATAAACTCGCCTGTCTTGTAGTGGCAACACTCTCCTAGTGAGGGGGATAAGTCGGAGACAGATGCTGTGACACTTATCTTGTTAGGAGAACAGCAGGTACATCAGATTACCAGGACAGGTACATCAGATTACCAGGACAGGTGCATCAGATTACCAGGACAGGTACATCAGATTACCAGGACAGGTATATCAGATTACCAGGACAGGTATTTCAGATTACCAGGACAGGTATATCAGATTACCAGGACAGGTACATCAGATTACCAGGACAGGTACATCAGATTACCAGGACAGGTATATCAGATTACCAGGACAGGTACATCAGATTACAAGGACAGGTATATCAGATTACCAGGACAGGTACATCAGATTACCAGAACAGGTATATCAAATTACCGGAAAAGGTATATCAAATTACCAGAACAGGTATATCAAATTACCGGAAAAGGTATATCAAATTACCAGGACAGGCACATCAGGTGACCAGGACAGGTACATCAGATGACCAGGACAGGTACATCAGATGACCAGGACAGGTACATCAGATGACCAGGACAGGTACATCAGATGACCAGGACAGGTACATCAGATGACCAGGACAGGTACGTCAGATGACCAGGACAGGCACGTCAGATTACCAGGACAGAGAATATCAAGGCTAATATTCCACAAATAACCCGCAGGTTGAAGAGACACATTTCAGTCAGACTTGGACCATTTAGAAGTTCCAGTAACACCTTGGCTGATATCTATCTCCAATACACCAGGGAGGAAGGAGGGGCAGCTGCCAGCTTCAGGGAGTCCCAAAAGTTTAGAAAATATGGAGAACTTGCCCATCATTATATGTTTGTTCCCATAGGCTCAGAGACCCTTGGCTCATGGGGAAAGAGTGCATCTAATTTCCTTAAGGAGCTGGGAAAAAGACTCATCAGGGTGACTAGGGATCCCAGGGCAGCTATTTTTCTGTTCCAGCGGCTCAGTGCGGCTGTTCAAAGGGGTAATGCCTGCTGTATTTTGGGCACACGCCCCAGTTCTGAGGAGCTGGATGAGATTTTCGCCTTATAATAGGTGATACACACGTAACATGTGCCGTATATGCCACCTTTATATCAACAATGTATCTCTTAAATCTTCTGTACCATATTATGTAATAAAATATTCCTTTAGGTAAAAAAAAAATACGGAAAGATGGGGTGGTAGGGGAAGTGGAATGTTCAGATGGCTTCAGGAAGAAATCCAAATATTCTTCCTTGAAGCCTTTTTATCCACTTCTCCGAGGCTATGGGTCCCACAATTTACACCAGAGGTGGACCCCATCCCATAAATATATATATATATATATATATATATATATATATATATATATATATATATATATATTATATATATATATATATATATATATATATATATATACACACAGGACAGGGACGGAAAAGAGAGAGGAAGAAAGAAGTGGAGTAGTAGCAATAGAGGTAATGCTGATAGGGGGAGTAGTAGTAGACAGAGGGGAGTAAAGCGAGGCAATAGTAGTAGAAGTACAAGTAGTGGTAGCAATAGTAATTGTCAAAGCTGGATAGAAACGTCGTTAAAAGCTTCTCTCTACTGTGTACGGGGTTATTTGTGTATTATTCCAGTCGCAGCATTATGCTTTTTCTTCTTCAAGGCTAACATTCATCTCGTTCTTAAATTACTATCGTTCCTTCGTGTCGCACATCAGTTGGTGAGTATGTCAACGACCTGGGTTGATTAACTGCAAATAACACTCCCCCTCCCTCCCCACACAAAAAAAAATGTAAACAAAGGCTGTGAATATTTTAAGAGTTGAACTTGGAGAGTTAAACTTCAGGTCATAAAAACACTATATAACTGACGTAACAGTAACGTAGGAAAGCGGTAAGGACAACTGCTAGGTACAACGACACAAGTGCAACTGTGACAACAGAATGTCGCGTTAGTTGTATCTTTATTTATTTATTTATTTATTATAAATTTGTGCACACATACAGAGGTACAAAAAAAAAAAAATACAGATAAGAGCAGTATGCCAAAGCCACTTATACTATGCATAGCATTACGGGCTGGCTTAAAATTAATTTAAGATTAACTAAGCAAAGATGAAGTCAGTGATAAAACATTAATGTAAACAGATTACTATAAAGCACAAGTGAGTATTACAAAGACAGGTCATATGTAGGATTCTGTTAGGTAGTGTATTTAAAAAATAATAAAGTTAGATTCGGTTTTAGGTTTAACATTTATGTGATATAATTGTGAGAAACATTTAAGATATACAATTTATAAGGTTCAGTTATTCAGTATTTATTTGGTTTTGGGTGAGTAAGTGATCTTTGAGTAGAGACTTGAATTTATAAACAGGTAGTGTTTCTTTTATATTTACAGGTAATGAATTCCAGATTTTAGGGCCTTTTATGTGCATTGAGTTTTTGCATAGTGTGAGATGAACACGAGGAACATCAAAGAGTGATCTGTGCCTTGTGTTATGGTCATGTGTTCTGTTGAGGTTGGCAAGGAGATGTTTGAGGGGAGGGTTAATATCAGAGTTAAGTGTTCTATGTATGTAATAGGTGCAGTAATAAGTATGGATGTTTTGTATGGTGAGTAGGTTTAGTGTATTGAATATTGGTGGAGTGTGCTGCCTGTAGTGAGAATTTGTTATCATTCTAACTGCAGCCTTTTGTTGGGTAATTAGTGGTCTGAGATGGTTAATTGTTGTTGAGCCCCATGCACAAATTCCATAGGTGAGATAGGGGTAAATAAGAGAGTGATATAGGGCCAGGAGGGCTGACTGTGGAACATAGTACCGTATCTTCGATAGTATGCCTACAGTCTTGGAAATTTTCTTAGAAATTTGTTGTATATGTGTATGAAATTTGAGTCTATTATCAAGGTGGATTCCTAAGAATTTTCCCTCTGTTAGCTGTGTCCTTGTACCTAACAATTAGTCGGCAATTCTCTTATTATTACTAAGGACTACTTGAACTAAGGTAAAGGAACTGTAAGGGCTAACTAAGAGCGTTAAAGTAAGTAAATCCTGAGAACTAATTCCTCTAAGGTAGGGAAACTGCGAGGCCCTATCGCATTACAGTAGGTGAAAACTGTTTGGGCTAATTGCACTAAGCCAGGGAACTGTAAGAGAAAACTACACTAAGCCAGGAACTGTAAGAGAAAACTACATTAAGCCAGGGAACTGTAAGAGAAACTACACTAAGCCAGGGAACTGTAAGAGAAAACTACACTAAGCCAGGGAACTGTAAGAGAAAAACTACATTAAGCCAGGAACTGTAAGAGAAAACTACACTAAGCCAGGGAACTGTAAGAGAAAACTACACTAAGCCAGGGAACTGTAAGAGAAAACTACACTAAGCCAGGGAACTGTAAGAGAAAACTACACTAAGCCAGGGAACTGTAAGAGAAAACTACACTAAGCCAGGGAACTGTAAGAGAAAACTACACTAAGCCAGGGAACTGTAAGAGAAAACTACACTAAGCCAGGGAACTGTAAGAGAAAACTACACTAATCAAGAGAACTGTAAGAGAAAACTACACCAAGCTAGAGGAAAACTGTGAGGAATAATTGGACAAACAAACGTAAACTATAAGAGTTTGATTCATATACCAGGATAGGGATTTCCACCATAGGTGAAGATCTCGTAGAGGAGGATACCGAAGGACCAGACGTCAGACTTGCTGGTGTACAAGTTGTTGATGAGGGCTTCAGGGGCCGTCCACTTGACGGGGAACTTGACGTTGGAGCGACGCAAGTAGAAGTCATCCTGACGGAGAGTTACAACTGTTATTGATGAAATTTATTTTCTAATTTGTACTGCCTAATAGCTGTAAGTTGTATGTGGCAAGCAACAACAGTTGTATGTGACAAGCAACAACAGTTGTATGTGACAAGCAACAACAGTTGTATGTGACAAGCAACAACAGTTGTATGTGACAAGCAACAGCAGTTGTATGTGAAAAGCAATAACAGTTGTATGTGACATGCAACAACAGTTGTATGTGACATGCAACAACAGTTGTATGTGACAAGCAACAACAGTTGTATGTGACAAGCAATAAGTTGTATGTGACAAGCAACAACAGTTGTATGTGACAAGCAACAACAGTTGTATGTGACAAGCAACAACAGTTGTATGTGACAAGCAACAACAGTTGTATGTGACAAGCACAACAGTTGTATGTGACAAGCAACAACAGTTTTAAGTAAATGTTTTATACAATAGAAAGGTTGTTGAATTAGACCCTTGTACAACACTTAGGAACCTCTACTGTGGAAACTTCTCGCCAGACAGTGGTATTCTCAGTCTAGTTAAGAGAAAAATGGTTAGAAATACGAACACTTAAGCAGTATAATGTCATCCTTTTTTTACAACGTTTCGCCCACGCAGTGAGCTTTATCGAGTCACAAACAGATGTACCTGGGTGAAACATACGTGGCTATATATAGGATGGGAATGCTGGGTCAGGTGGAGAAAGGTGCGTGACAATCTTCGGTGTAGAGTGAAGAAGTCTAAAAACTTGGGTAGCTTTTGAAAAAGATTGGATAAGTACATGAGTGGATCTTCTGCAGTGATCCTCGATTCTTATGTTCTTATGTGGGATAGCGATGAAGAAGTTTCTTGGCGAGGGGTTCAGCTATGTTATAGAAGCCGTTGTTCTGGTTGAAGTTATTGGATGTACAAATAAGTGATGATTCCAGGATTCTTCAGTATTAAGTGTTGTCTTCTCTGGCGATAAGTCTTGCTCTACCACAAGATCTCTGTAACCTTCTCTCTACCATTGCCTTTGGCACTGCTCGCCTGAATACACAAATTCATTCTTCTAAACTACAAAATAAACTACAACGTCTCATCTCAGCTAGACCTTGGTCTAAATTCTCCCTCACTGACTGTTACTAACTTGTCTTCTGTCTCACTCTCTCAGTATGAGCTTGAACTTCTTGGTTTTGGTCTTTCCTTTGCCACTTCGCCTACTCCTCGCGCTGGTATTGCCCTAATTAGCTCTTTTGATCCCTTTCGTCAATCTCGCTCCCGTAATCTTCCTGACTTGTCCACTTTTCGTGGCGCTCTCCTTCCTGCTCTTGTTAGTCTGTTTTCTAAGAACCACCATCTTCCGCGCCGTTACCAACTTGCCCTTTCTTCTCTTAAATCTAACACTAACATTGTCATACTACCTTAAGGTAATTCGGTAGTTATCCTTGATCGCGAGGATTACCTCCGTAAAGCTGATGTCTTGCTCTCTGACTCACGTACCTACACTCCTCTCGTTTCCAACCCTCTTGATCGCATCAAGAGAACTTTCAGCAAGAAACTAAGGACTCTCTCCGACCTCTGTCCTCCTGACTTTGACCTTGTTCAACGGTTTCGTGTCATCTGTCCCTCTCTTCCCTATTTCTATGGCCTTCCCAAAACTCATGAACCTGATATTCCTCTTCGTTCTATCATATCCTCTAGAGGTTCTGTCTCTTATTCTCTTGCTTCTTGGCTGGCCAAAACCCTCACTCCCTTTCTTGGTACTTTTCCTCCTGCCCACCTCCGTCACTCTCAAGACTTCATTGAACGGGTTCGCTCTCTCCCAACCTGTAAGATGCTTAGTCTTGACGTTGAGTCCCTCTTCACCAATGTCCCTCTTGATGATGTCCTTGATTTCCTTAGAGAGAAGGCCCATGAAGGCTTTCTTCATCTCCCTATCCCCACTGATGTCTTTCTTGATCTGATCCGCCTCTGTGTGGACTCTAACTCCTTTTCCTTCCAAGGAAATATTATTCTCAACCTTCGGTGTCGCTATGGGCTCTCCTCTCTCTCCTGTCCTTGCTAATCTTTACATGGAATACTTCGAGACTGTTCTTCTTCCTACCCTCGATGTGCAACCTTCACTCTGGCTCCGCTATGTGGATGACATCTTTGCTCTGTGGCCTCATGACTCCAGTCTCTTCCAACCTTTTCTTGAAGCTCTTAATAATCTTGTCCCTTCCATTAAGTTTAAAGCTGAATGGGAATCTAATTCCTTGCTTCCTTTCCTTGATGTCCATGTCCACCGCTCAGATACAGGTTTTTCCTTTTCCGTTTACCGTAAACCTATGCACAGTGGCATGTACATTCACTACTTTTCCTATCATTCTTCCCCTGTCAAGAAAAGTGTTCTTATCTCCCTCTTTCTCCGTGCCCTCCGCATCTGTGATCCTCAGTTCCTTCCAGCAGAAATTTCCACTCTTCATAATTCGTTTTCATGTCTTGGCTACCCTTCCCATTTCATAGACTCTGCCCTCTCACGTGCTAAACGTAATTTCTTCTCTCCCAAACACTCTACTGGGAACTCTTCTATCCTCTGCCTTCCCACATTTCGGTCTTTCTAATCTCAACAATTCTCTCCGTCCCTCAGACATCAAGCTTACTTTCCGCCAGACTAACACTCTTCGCACTAATCTCGTTCATACCTCTCCTCCTCTACAGATGTCCTGGTGTCTACTCTATTTCTTGCTCCTCCTGTCTCTTCAGTACTTTGGAGAAACTGGCCGATACTCTTTCTGGCGACTTATGGAGCACAAAAATAGTGTTAGGCTTGCCGACACTAACAATGCTCTGTTCTGTCACGTCAGAGATCACAGCCATCCTATTGACTGGTCTTCCGCTAAAGCTGTCTTCCCTACTTCCAACTCTAACAGTCGCCGTCTAGTTGAATCCTCTCTAATCCACAAACATTTCCTTGTATGAATCTTAGTCCTGCTTCGTCTCTGTAGATGCTTTCCTCTCCCACTACGTTGTAAAATGCTCCAAACTTCAGAACACCCGTGACTTAACCTGATTCCTTATTTTTTCTTCTTTTCCCTTTTCCCCTTTCCTCTTTCCTTTTTGTCTTTCTTTCTTCTGTCGCGTGTTTCTGTTCATTCATTATTTATTTCATCACTTCCCCTTCCCCCCACCTCTGTGCACTTGCTCTCCCTCTGTGGGCACCTAGCTCCCTTGCAGTGCTCCTCTTTCTTTATATTTGACTGGCTCCTCCTCCTTAATTCCCCACTACTACCACTACTACTACTACCACCACTACAACTACTACTACTACTACTACTACTACTACTACTACTACTACTACTACTACTACTACTACTACTACTACTACTACTACTTCCTGCCTTTATATAGCCCTCCTGCTCCACTTCTGGTTAGTGTGACTTTGTAAATGGTCCTAGTCGGACCGAAACGTCGTCGTAAGCTCCTCTCTTCTATGTGCGGGTTATTTGTGTATATTCAACACCTTCTACAACCACACGGGCCAAGGCAAACCAGACATCTTTCTGGCAAACCGAGCCAGCTCTCTATTTCAACACTTCATCTCACCTGGCCCTATTACAGGCTCTGATCACATCCCAGTCATCTTGCACATCTCCTCCAACCCTATCCTCATTCCAGCCACACCTTCCTTCTCCTACAAGAACGCTGACTGGGATGCTTTCAGACAACTCATAGACAATATTAACCTCACCTATGACTACAACAACAAACCTATCACTGACATCGATACTCAACTTGATCTCATCCAGGACACCATTACACAAGGAGCCAACACTGCAATACCAAAGAAAACTCACACCACTCGTTATTCCTTCAAACCTTCACTCAGAACAAGAAGACTAATTATCTGCTACCACAACCGCTTCCTCTACAACACACACAGATTTAATCAAGTCCGATTAGATCTCACTTACCTTAGAAACAACGTTTTACACAGCCTAGACCAAGACCACAACAATCACTAGTCACAACTCATAAAACAAGCGGACAAACAGCGTATTAAAAACACTAAAGCCTTCTGGAACTTTATCAAAAAAATCAGAGGCACAACTCCCACCAACAAATTCAGACACATCACCCACTACAACACACACATCTAAGACCCGCAGGCTGCTACTAACATCTTCAAACACATCTGGGAGAACATCTTCCACCCTCACCCACCCCATCCTAACGTTATTCAACACATTCAGAACATAGAGCACTGGAACACTGCACATACACAAGAAACAACACCAGACAGCCACATCCATCTAGACTCTCTTGTCTCCTCCCAAGAACTCGACACTCCTTTCACCAACACAGACATTAAAATTCTCCACAGACACCTTCCTTCCAAGGCTCCTGGTGCCTCTGGCCTAAACCATATTATCCTAAAACACCTTCCTGGCTCTATCATTACTGCCTACACAAACCTCCTCAATGCCTTCCTTGCCTCTGGATACTTCCCTTCCCTCTTCAAAGCTGCTACTGCTATCCTCCTTCCTAAACCCAAAAAAGACCACTCTGATCCTAGAAACTATCGCCTTATCAGCCTCCTCGAAACTTTAGGAAAACTCTTTGAAAAACTCATCAACCATCGCCTTCGCAGATACCTGGAACACAACTCTCTACTTTCTGATGGCCAGTTTGGCTTCAGAACACACAGATCCACACAGGATGCCAATAACATCATTCTCAACTACATCCACATAAACACAAAACAAAAAAACAGGACAGCCCTGGTTGCAAAAGACGTTGAAAAAGCCTTTGACACTGTGTGGCACGAAGGGCTCAAGTACAAACTCTGCACTAACTTCAACCTGCCTCTCAATACTCGTAAACTCCTCTGCAACTTCCTAGACGGCCGTACCATGAGAATCAAATTCCAAGGCTGTTACTCTGACTACTTCACACTAAATGCTGGAGTACCCCAGGGATCTGTCCTCTCCCCTACCCTCTACATTTTATACACTAACGACATTCCAACACCTGTATACCACAACTCCATCACACTAGCCTATGCAGACGACATTACACAACTTATCACTCATGTAGCCTTAATGACCAGGCTTTATGCAGCCTTAATGACCCTCGTATAGGCTTTACACAGCCTTAATGACCCTCGTGTAGGTTTTAAAAGAAATAAAGCAGAAAGAATTAGAAAGATAATAGAATAGGCCTTGTGATTACTATATTACCTTAATAAACCTAGCCAGACCAAAGTCGGCGATCTTCACTTGTAAATCGTTCCCGACGAGGATGTTCCTGGCAGCCAGGTCACGATGGATCACCTTCTCGCCCTCAAGGTAGCTCATGCCAGAGATGATCATCTCTGCCATGCTCAGCAGCGTGCTCAGGTCGTGGGGGGTGCCGCGCCCTGCAGTCAGGAACGTTACTCAACTAAGGAGTCGCCAAGAGGCTTTTAAAGGTACAAGAGACTTAAATGTACGTCAGAAACATATTCACAAGGCTCTGGCAACGCTGGAAACCTTGCGTGACAGTTTCAAGTCTATTGCAATAGATTATTTTGTGGCATGGCTAAGGAACCACCCCCCTCCCTCCATGACATTACTGAAGAACTGATTGTTCCCATATTTCTCTCTCTCTTCTCTCTCTCTCTCTCTCTCTCTCTTTCTCTTTCTTTTTTCTCTCTCTCTCTACTCTCTCTCTACTACTCTCTCTTCTCATCTCTCTCATCTCTCTCTTTCTGCTCCATCTCTCTCTCTACTATTCCTCTCTTTCTCTTTCTTTCTCTGTTCTTTCTACATATCTTGTCTCTTCTTTCTCTTTCTTTCTCTTCTTTTTTTCTCTTTCTCTCTCTCTCTCTCTCTCTCTCTCTCTCTCTCTCTCTCTCTCTCTCATCTCTCTCAATTACCACAGAAGGTGAGATACAGAGAATCAGTTGTGACGATAAAATGAAAAGTCAACTACACAATAATAAGTGTGAAAGAAAGCTTTAATATCATGACTGTTTTTTGAGACTAAACTCACAAGAGTAATAACAAATGTAACTTTCCCAGAGGAATATAAAATAGGAAGAAGCGAAAAAGAAAAGAAGAAGAGGTAGAGGCGCAATGCGCTGCCCTTTCCATCAGTGGAATCCAGAGATGAATCATAATCCTTGACTCATCAACGCTGGTGGAAGACGAAGTAAACGAAACATTTCGTCAATAGTGATGAATGGTTTGAAAAACCGACAAGTTGAAGATTGAGACACTTATGCAGCATATGGGGAATCTTATTCAGGAAACGTTTCGCCACACAGTGGCTTCATCAGTCCAATACAAAGAGGAAGGCATAAGGAGAGGAGGAGTATGAGGTAATCAGTCCCTCAGCCTGGAGTCGACGTGTTCAGTCCATCAATCTTGTACATTCTACAAGATTGATGGACTGAACACATCGACTCCAGGCTGAGGGACTGATTACCTCATACTCCTCCTCTCCTTACGCCTTCCTCTTTGTATTGGACTGATGAAGCCACTGTGTGGCGAAACGTTTCCTGAATAAAGATTCCCATATGCTGCATAAGTGTCTCAATCTTCATTTCGTCAATAAATATTCCTAGCAAATAAATCACAAATGGGTGGGGGATCGAACCCATGGCAGACGAGTCCTAAAATTCACAGGTTAGTGTGATAACCAGTGAGAACATGATAACCACGGTGAGGTTATCATGTTCTCACTGCCATAGATTAGTCCCCCAACCCCATCTTTGATTGTTTTTGCTGTCTTGTTATTACATGTTCGTGATTCTACCTGGAGGGTGTGAAGAGAGTCAACACCCCGCGGCCTAGTCCTTGACCAGGCGGTCTGGGGGATCAGGGCCTGATCAACCAGGCTGTTACTGCTGGCTGCACGTAGTCCAGCATAAGAACCACAGCCAGGCTGATCCAGCACCGACTAAGTATCTGTCCAGCTCCCTCTTGAAGACAGCCAGGGGTCTATTGGTAATTCCCCTAATGCCTGGTGGGAGGTTGTTGAAGAGTCTTGGGCCCCGGACACTTACTGCATTTTCCCTTAGTGTACCAATGGCACCCCTACTTTGAATTGGGAGTATGTTTCACTGCCTGCCCAATCTTTTGCTTTCGTAAGGAGTGATTTCTGTAAGCAGATTGGGGACCAGTCCCTATAGGATTTTCCAAGTATAGATTATGATGTATCTCTCTCGCCTGCACTCCAGTGAGTACAAGTCAAGTGCTTCACAGCATTCCCAGTAACTAAGGTGTTTGACATAGCTTCATGTGCTGTAAAGGTTCTCTGTACATTCTCTAGATCTGAGATTTCACCTGCCTTCAAGGTAGCTGTTAGTGTACAGTGTTCCAGCCTAGAGACAACAAGTGATTTAAAAAGGATCATCACTGGTATGCCATACCTTGTTGTGAAACTTCTTATTATCCATCCTATCATTTTCCTCGCAGTTGTGATAGTGACGTTACTGTGATCCTTGAAGGTTACTGTGATCCTTGAAGGTTAGATCCTTTAGCATTAACACTCTCAAGTCCTTCACACTACTTTTTTGTTCTATTGTGCGTTTAGAGTTTGTAGTATACTCCGTTCTAGTTATTATTTCCTCCAGTTTTTCATAACGGAGAAGTTGAAATTTGTCTTCATTGAACATCATTTTGTTTTCCGTTGCCCATTTGAAAACTTGATTTATATCTAAACCATACCCCGGCCGTGATTGAACCCGCGGTCGGAGAGTCTCAAAACTCCAGACCGCGACGGTCTGGAATTTTGAGACTCTCTGACCGCGGGTTCAATCCCGGCCGGGGTATGGTTTGTTTGCAATCGTGTCATTACGATTTCGTGAGTCTTGATTTATATCTGCTTGGAGAGTTACCGTGTCCTCAATGGACGACACACTCATGCAGATTCTAGTATTGTTTGGAAAGAATGACACTGTGTCTGATGTGAGGTCTGATATGAGGATGAGGATGAGGAACAAGATGGGGGGGAAGCGAGTACTACGCCTTGTGGAACAAAGCTTTTCCCTGTGTCAGCCTGACTTAACTCTGTTGACCAATACTCTGTGTCCGACTGGTTAGAAAGTTGTAGATCTATCTGCCCACTTTGTCAGTTATCCCTTTAGCACGCATTTTGTGATCTATTACACCATGATCGCACATGTTAAAAGCTTTAGCAAAATCTGTGTATACTGCATCAGCATTCTGTTTGTCCTTCAGTGCATCCAAGACCATGCCATAAATCAGTAGTTGCGAGAGGCAGACTCTAAACCCTGCTGCCCTTGATTGTGTAATTTTTGGGAATCCAAATCTATTCTGCTTCTTAGAACTCTTTCAAAGATTTTTATAATGTAGGACGTTAGAGCTATCAGTTTATAATTCTTTGCTGTTACTTAGCTGCCATCATAACATAAGGCATGCGAAAGTGGATTCGTGCAGTTCTTAATGAACACAGAGTTCCACGAGTCTTGACCTGGGGGTGAGTGTTGCAAATGTGTCTTGTCAACTTATCGGTATTGTATGCCATTTACAATACGATTAAAAAAAAAGCTCAATGCGTGCTACTGTGGCTATAAGATGTCTGGCCATCTAATGAATGACCAAGAAATTTCCTAGAGTTTAATCCTCAATGAGTTCTACTAGGAAAAAACTATCACACTCCCATGGCCGAAGAACATTATCCACGAGTCGGGGGGGGAACTTCATAAAGGCATGAAGAATGTATCGTAATAACTTCCTTCATGCTTGTAGGATGTCGTGGTTTCAGAGGGGACCTCGCATGCCTTACTTTAATGTCTAATACTGTGTGTGTGTGTGTGTGTGTGTGTGTGTGTGTGTGTGTGTGTGTGTGTGTGTACACACATATCAATTCGTTTATTAGGAGTTATTCAGAACAATAGTGTCTGTGAAGGGAAAACAACTATATTTATCACTGCCTGCTGGTGGGATCGGGCAGCCTCAGTGAAAAACAGAGAACGAGTCGCATGTTGTGGCTGACATTAATCTCACCAGGAAAAAGAATTTCCTGGTTGTAGTACTAGTGATGAGCGTGTGTGGGGCGGCTGGCAGCGAGGCTCTCCAGGTTACGAGCCTCAGACTGTCCACTCCAGCCATAGCACATTAATGAATTGTTGCTTTTTGATTAATTACAAATCTTTCGTCACATAAATAAAGAGGGAGAGGGAGAGAGTGAGGGAGAGGGAGAGAGTGAGGGAGAGAGTGAGGGAAAGAGTGAGGGAGAGAGTGAGGGAGAGGGAGAGAGTGAGGGAGAGGGAGAGAGTGAGGGAGAGAGATATGACTTACTGTGTGGCTGTACAGTCTAGACGTCATGTTAGGTCACGAAGATGCTGCGCAAGGAGCCGTGAGGGAGCGAAATTCAGTGATATAAAGCAGAGGTTCACCGACCGGCTTGGTCAAAGGCCGTATAGTTGACCAACAGATGATGTCGCAAGCCGCTGCATTTGGTCAGGCCGTATCGGTGGAACTCATCATGTTCAGCAGTCTGGCAGACGGTGGGCAGCAAGGTGAGCTTGCAACAGTGGAAAGGTTTAGGTGAGGTGGGTTTAAAGTTTAGGCGCTTGTAAAGAACATTTGGTTAGATTTCTCAGAATGAGTAGCAGCTAAGATCATGGAACTGAAGAAATAGTTACTTTGGCTGAGACAATACTTATTTTAGGATTATTGAAGGAAGGAAAAAGGGGGACACAACTGTAATGCTAAAAATTTCCCGAGAAATAGAGAAGAGCCGACAGAAAAGTGAATTAGAAATTGCCTCCAGAGTAAATAATATTGGTACAACTTTTCGACACAACTGGCTCTATCAGAAATATAAATTACTAAAGAAAAATCAATTAAACTAACCTAACTACACAGCCTGGATGTTCTACGTAAGATGAGACTTTCTGCATTATCTTCTGTACTTGACAAGCTATTTTGCAGTGAAACATTATACCAAAAAATACTCCCATGCAATCAGACCTTCCCAACCATTAATTGAAATTATAATTTTAAATAAAATAAGGTGGACACACTTAGTTACTGAACACAGACGTAAAAGGCAAAGTGGAAAATACGATAAAAAACGGCATTTATCAATGGGGAAATGCCTCTTGGAACAATTATTTTAAAGGGTTAATTGAAAATTAGTCATTAGCAGCAATATAAGCTTGTATTAGATTGAATTACCAGAAAAGATTATTTACTTGTTTGGGTTTAAGAAGCATAAGTAAGAACCCATACAGAAAATCTTATTTATGGGAGGATATGTTGAGTGATAAGCTCACATATCAGATGACGGAGTTTCAAAAGTTGAACACAGGATAAGATAGCAAGTAACACTAAAACAAGAGAGTCCGGTTCAGGTTCAGTGTCACTCTTCCTTTGATCGTTTGACTCTTTCAGGGCTACACGTCTT